CTAGCCTCCCAAGTAGCTGGGAATACAGGCATGCACCACCATGCCTAGCTAATTTTGCAATTTTGTATTTTTAGTAGAGATAGGGTTTTACCATGTTGGCAAGGCTGGTCTCAAACTCCTGACCTCAGGTGATCCACCTGCCTTGACCTCCCAAAGTGCTGGAATTACAGGTGTGAGCCACTGTGCTCGGCCGTGAGCTACATTTTATATTTGCTAATATGACAACCCTACTCTCTTTCCTTTTTATTTTTTTTCTTCTTTTCAATTGCTACAGGATCTGGCCCTACTGTTGTCATCCAGGCTGGAGTGCAATGGTGAAATCGTAGCTCACTGCAGCCTTGATCTCCCACAGTTACCACGTCCAAATAATAACTATTTTTATTTTTTTGTATAGACAGCAGTCTCACTTTGTAGCCCAGGCTGATCTCAAACTCCTGCGCTCAAGTGCTCCTCCACCTTGGCCTCTCAAAGTGCTGGAATTACAAGCCTGAGCGTTACTCTCTTTCCTAATTGTTCCAGTCGCTTTCCAGCTCTTTTTTTCTCCCTTCTTCCCTTCCCCAACCCAATCTCTGGTAAAGATCCAGGCTTTCCCTTACTTGTCTATTCATAGGAGAATAACTAGCCTCTTATGTCATGGAAGAAACAGTATGACCATCTCAACTTCCCTCCTCTCCAAGCTCCAGCTTAATAGCAACTTCACTCACCCTTATCTCCTTCCCACCTGTTTCAGAAGTAGAAGCAACTTTACTCCTTTCTAAGGCAAACTCTTGCCCATGTCACCATGCTGCTTCCTCCAAACTTTCTGAGACTTGGCTCAAATATTCCAATTCTCTCTTGTACTTTCAATTCTTAGCTTCTGAGGACTCTTTACCTTCAGCTTACATGAATGTTTATGTGTTTTCTCTACCAAAAACTCTTTCTTCCCTTCATCCTAGGTCCCAATATCTCTTTCTCCTCTTGTTTGCCAACATTCAAGCGAAACGTGACTGAGCCTTGGAACAGACACTTAGGTTCAGCTTTCATACTGACAGTTCTCAGCTGTGTGACTTTAGGCAAGTTCTTTTAATTTCTTTGAACCTCAGTTTCCTCATCTCTAAAATGATATAATGATATTTGCCTCTTTCAGTCATTGTGAGGATTAAGGAGCTACATACCTGTGAGAATTTCCTACACTACAGAGAAGATGCTTCACCCACCCACCACCTCCATCTTTAACTATCTTTAAGTATAATCGTTGCTTTCATCAACCCACTTTCTATCTTTTCATTCACTTTGCTTTCAAATTTTCCCATGAAATTTTAAAGTCAAAATAATATGTGCACATCATTTTAAAAAAGATCAAACAGTACAAAATTTACAAAGAAGAGCATTAGTCCTCAGAGGTTCCCCAGTTCTCCAGTCTTTCCAATCACTGTGAAGTCTTGTTGATTTTCTTCTGGTGGCAACTTGCAAAACTCAAAATCTCATGTTTTATACTTCTACTTCTTCATTATCAATCTTATAACAATATAGATTTTCTGTCATGTTGAAGGAGTATTAATTAACTTGAAGAAGGATGCTTATGTTATAAACTTTCTGAATTCTTGCATGTCTGACATTTTAAATATTCTATTCTATACTTGAATAATATTTTGACTGGGTATCAAGTTAAAAATTTTAAGTAATTTCCCCTGAGAATTCTGAAGGCACTACTCTCTTGTCTTTTAATTTCTAGGGCCACTGATAAAGAGTATAAAGCTATTCTGATTTCAAAACTTCACATCTATTTTTTGTCTCTGGATGTTTTTAGAAATTTCTCTATCTCTTCAGTGTTCCAGAGTGACATGATGATATGCCTTGATTTTCTTTTTTTTTTTTTTTTTTTTTTTTAAATCTACATTTTTCATTTTGTAATTTCTTTTTTTTTTTTTTTTTTAGGGAAAAAGAGAAAAAGAAGGGGAAAAAAAGAAAAAGAGGGAAAAAGGAATATTACTTCATTCCTAAAATGGGTTTCAATAATGGCCGATCAATATTTTGAGTGTTTAAAGTGGTTAATGCATATTTTATGTGTTTAAAATGGAGACCTCTATTGTGTTTATTTGTTCTGGCTCTGAGTTCAAATCCTGGATATCGTTATCAATTTGTTGTCTCGTTGAATCTAAATCTATGTGTCTTATGTATCTGGGTGTTAAGATCTCTTATTGTTACATTAATCCTTTTACCCTTGTATCCTTATAGCTTTGAAATCTATTTTGTCAAATGTGAAAATTGCAACTCCTGCTTTTTATTTATTTATTTTTGCTCTCCATTTGGTTGGTACGTTTTTTTTTTCCCAACCCTTTATTTTGAGTCTATGTATATCTTTGGATATACCGTTGGATTTTGTCTGTATCTTTTGATTGGGAGATTTGGTTGATTTAACTTTAGGGTTGCTGCCATTTGATATTAACTGGCTATTTTGTCCTTTTGTTGATAAAAATTCTTCTTTATGTTAACGCTCTTTACTTTTTGGTGTATTTTTAGAAAGGATCATACTGGTTGTTCCTTTCTGTGTATAATGCTTCTTTTAGAAGTTCTTGTAAAGCAGGCCTGGTGGTAATAAAATCTCTGAGTACTTGCTTGTTCCTAAAAGATTTTATTTTTCCTTCAAATGTAAAGCTTAAATTGGCAGGATATGAAATTCTGGGCTGAAAGTTTTGTTCTTTAAGTATATTGAATATTGGCCCCCACTCTCTTCTAGCTTGTAGGGTTTCCGTTGAGAGATCTGCTGTAAGCCTAATAGGCTTACCTTTATGGGTAACTTGATCTTTCTCTCTGGCTGCCCTTAATATTTTCTCCTTCGTTTCGATCTTGGTGAATCTAACGATTATGTGCCTTGGGGTTGGTCTTCTTGAGGAATATCTTTGTGGTGTTCTCTGTATTGCCTGGGGTTGAATAGTGTCCTGCTTTGCTAAATTAGGAAAATTTTCCTGGATAATGTCCTGGAGAGTATTTTCCAGCTTGACTTCATTCTCTCCGTCACATTCAGGTACACCAATCAAGCGTATATTAGGTCTTTTCACATAGTCCCATATTTCTTGGAGACTTTGCTCATTCCTTTTTATCCTTTTTTCTCTATTCTTGTCTTGTCGTTTTGTTTCATTAAGTTGGTCTTCGACCTCTAATACCCTTTCTTCTGCTTGATCCATTCGGCTGTTTAAGCTTGTACATATTTCACTCAGTTCTCGTGTTGTATTTTTCAACTCCATAAGTTCATTTGTATTCCTCTCTATATTGTCTATTCTTTTCAACATTTCATCGAACCTTTTTTCCAAGTTCTTAGTTTCTTTACATTGGGTTAGAACAAGTTCCTTTAACTCCCAGAAGTTTCTTATCATCCACCTTTTAAAGCCTACTTCAGATAATGGAACACAGTCCTTTTCCATCAGGGCTTGTTCCCTTACTGATGAGTCCTTTTCCATCAGGGCTTGTTCGGTTGCTGATGAGTCCTTTTCCATCAGGGCTTGTTCCGTTGCTGATGGGTTCTGATTTTGAGTAGACTCGGCCTTCTTAGGCTGTTTTTTTCCCTTCATTGTAGATGACCCGCCTTTCTAATTAGTTTTCTGAGTCGACGTCCGACTTATTGATTCCCAGTGCTGGGATCCGAGCCACCCACTGTGGCAGCCTAAATAGCAGCAGTAAGACTGATGGTGCTCTTCTGCCCGGGAATCTCTGGTCTGGCTTCCCTCTTGAGTCCGCAACAAGCGGCTCTGACTTCCCGGAGCTCCAAACTCTGGTCAGTAGGGGAAGCAGTCCCGTTGGCTCTGCGTGAAGAGCTGCTGCGCCGAGACGCCGGCAAAACCACTGCGGCGGCCACAAGAGTCGCGCTGGCGACCCGTGGGGCTCCTCCACTGGGAGTCGGCTAATCGGTGAGTGACGAAAATTCGTCTAATGATGTGGCGTCGTCTCGTTCTCTGAGCTTTCACTGGGAGCTACAATCCTGAGCTGTTAGTGGTCGGCCATCCTATGCCTTGATTTTCTAAGTCATTTGCAGTTCTGAAAAGTATCTGAAATTATTTCTTTAATAACTTCATCTTCTTTGGTTTCTCAGTTTTCCCTTTTTGGAAATCCTACTTTTCAGATTGTGGACTATCTAGGCTGATTTTTAAATTTCCTTCTATTTGATATTCCTTTTGGTGCTTTCCATCCTTCAGCTAATAGCTCTCTTTTCACTGCCAAACTTTAATTTCCAAGTGCTCTCCTTTTCTTTTCTGAATGTTACATTGTTACAGAACTCTGGTCTTATGTTAGGGATAGCATCTTTACTTATCTCTGAGGATATCAGAGCTTTGTTATTGTTGATATTTTCTCCTGTTTTCTTTGTTGTCACATTTTCTTCAGCGTTTTGCTCTCAGTTCTTTGTGTCATCGGCTTTCCCAGTTGTCAGATGATCTCTGGCTGTCCATATATATTTGAGACGGAGTTTCGCTCTTGTTGCCCGGGCTGGAACGCAATGGCACAATCTCGGCTCACTGCAACATCCGCCTCCTGGGTTCAGGCAATTCTCCTGCCTCAGAGACTAAAATAGAGGCAAATCAAAAAGCTAATTTAAAACTTTGTGTAGGGGCTTGTCAATGGAGGGGTGGTAGATGATCAGGATAAACACTTTTGTTGAGGATGCCAATTGTCAATATCTGGAGTTCTCAGGTTCTGGACAGGTCAGTTTCACCAGAGAGGAATTCTAAAATCTCTTGTCTACCTTCTAGCATTTTCCAGAGTGAACAAAGAAGGAGGGAACACCTCACCATTTAATATCTGGATTTGAACTGAATCACCATGATGGGAACCCCCACTGTACACTCAGCTCCATCAGGTGTCTCAGAGTCCAGTGACCCTCTGGTTTAACCCATGCAGAAAAGAAACCTCCAGTCTTCTGCTGGAATTGGGGGACTGACATTTATCCTATTTTACAGGTTGGAGATGAAGGGCTGGATATTTGGCTGCTTATTTTAATTAGAATAATTATATTTAAAAATTAAGGAATCCTTTTGTAGTTCACGAGTGTGAATATTGGGTGTTCACACACGTGTGAGACGTGCCACCATTGAACCTTGTCACGATGTCAGCACATTACCTATCTGACACAAAGGAAAAAAAAAAATCAAACAGGAAAATAGAAAGTAAACTAATGAAGCTAATGAGTACAATGGAGCTAGAGAGAAGTGGTGGGGTGGGTGTTAAACATTTTCTCACTAGTATAGTGGCTACTCTATAATCAGGCTTCTTATTTTCAGATCAGCATTTATCGCCATTTTCACAAATACCTGGAATTTCTAAGTCCTCTTATTTGAGGATCTGTACTGGGAATTTGGTTTACTTCTAGGATCCTGCTGCAGGCTTAGGTCTCAACTCTCTCTGGTTGGTCAAGCTACTTACACACAATTTGTTTTCTAAAACTTTGTTGCTATTGTTAGAGGCAAATTAACTTTGAAACCAACATAGTTTAAACTTGAGTCCTTCCCTTCCAAGTCCTCGAAGGAACCCAGCAATATGTCCCCAAGGTTACACATTATTGTAAAATATTAAAAGTAAAGTATTTTAACCAAAATTGACTATGACCGACATAGATCACTACCTTCTTCCATTAGGACATCCTCTCCATCTCATTTTCCCTTGTGTAGGAGTGATTTTGGAGTTGTTGAAGGTATTTTTGGTTTATAAGACTACTTCAGCTACCCTCTACATCTGTCATGACACAAAAGTTCAGAGCTAGCTTCACATGACTGAGCCAGGAGCTAGTCTGGGGGAAATTCATCCAAAATACCATGCACAAATTATAATTTGAAGATTTGATTCTCATTGACACATAAATAAAACACACATTCTCTTCTTCTTAGAATATATTTACCAACTCAGTATATATAATTATAAACACATCACACTTGGTTTTCCTTTTTTTTTTGGAGACAGAGTCTCACTCTGTTGTCCAGGCTGGAGTGCAGTGGCATGACCTCAGCTCACTGCAACCTCTACCTGCCAGGATCAAGTGAGCCTTCTGCCTCAGCCTCCCAAGTAGCTAGGTCTACAGGTGTGCACCACCACGCCTGGTTAATTTTTGTATTTTTAGTAGAGATGGGGTTTCACCATTGTTGCCCAGGCTGGTCCCAAACTCCTGACCTCAAGTGATTCACCCGCCTCGGCCTCCCAAAGTGCTGGGATTACAGGCACTCACCACCTGCTGGCTAATTTTTGTATTTTTAGTAGAGACAAGTTTTAACCATGTTGGCCAGGCTGGTCTGAACTCCTGATCTCAAGTTACCTGCCCACTTCGACCTCCCAAAGTGCTGAAATTACAGGCCTGAGCTACTGCACTCGGCCTTTTTTTCTCCCATTTTTAATGGAATCACATAAAAAAAGATTAATCAAAATTTTCATATAGTTGTATGCTATAACTATTATAAGTTGGGTATAAATTTGGGGTTATTTCAATGAAATATGTGAGAAATTACAGACTCCTCATTTAGCCTTATATAAAGAATACCTCATTTTATCCATACATTTATTGAAGGATTGAGAGAAAATTTATATTAAAATTTCATAGAATGTGAAACAAAAACAATAAAAATGAGCAATTAAATAAATAAATAATAATTGTTCTGACTTTAGATCATATCCAGAGCATGATACATTATTGAAAGGAAGATGTATGTTTTGAATAGAAACAGCAAACCTGTTATTGGCTTGTTGATAACCTATATGATGAAGAACACTTAATCATAAGAACTAGGAAAAGATAAATATCCTGCTGATTTGACACACAGAAAAACCCTGACATGAACAAAATCACCGTAAAGCTCAAAATATCTCAGTATGACATAAAGACATCAGTAACAGGTAGGTTAATAATTATCTCACTCTAAGTGTATTTACGATTAGAGCACAAGAAAACTTGAAATGCTCTGGAATGTTATCATTTATCCATGAAAAAAGTCAGGAATTTTCCTAAATCTAGCAACAGTCCTAAACACTTACCATGATGCTGTCGAAAATGAATTCTGAAGCTAAAAGAAACTTTTTTAAGCCATCAATTAAAAAAAAAAACAACAAGTTTTAACCAAATATGAGAGAAGGAACACCAAATTACCTTTCCATTCTCTCTAAAAAAGTTATATTTTATTTTATTTTCTGAAGAGGAGACCAAAGGATATGTAGACAAGGATGTAAGGGAAAAAGTCGTTAAATGTTTAAGGCAGTGAATTAAAATATTGTTATTGGTATGATTCATGATTTTGTTCACTTTTTAAAATTAGTCATCTGTTGTGATCTTTGCTTATTCTAACCATATTCACTTTCATGCCTAATTTTGTACTGTTTTTCTAAAGAAGTTTCTCTATCACCAATTGCATACACTTCTACCTAGCTCTTCTACCTCCGTATTTTGGCAGAAATATGCATTTATAACTTCCTGAAATAGTGATTTTAAATGAAATATTTCTATAAAACTATCACTGCCCTATCATGTTTGCTCCCCAATGATGACTACTTTTACCTCTTTCACCTTTCCTTTGTGTATTTTCCTCTTGTTTTCTAATTATGTTGACACTTTTTAAATTTTTTCAATTTTAGATATTATGTGTTGACTTTGCCCTTTGAATATTAGGGATTAGCTCTCTTAAACACACTGCTTCTTTCCTGTAGGAGATAAAGAAAAATCAAAACAAACAAACAAAAAACGAAAAAACTCACACTTCTGCCCCTTCCTCCCAACACAAATAATTTCCCACTCCCTAAGTATAGGTTAAATATCAATGGATATATTCTTGTGACTCTGCAGATTTTACTTACAGTTTGGCCATGTGTGTACTGTGATGTATTTACTTTCATGTATATTTTTTGGTATTTTTTTCTTTGCTCTGTTTTCTATGTACTTATTACAATTCATCCACACCTTCTTGGAGCATTCAAACACATGAGAAAACACAACAAATTCAGGGACACACCACTCCTGGGTTTCCTATCTTCCTCTCCAGTCCCAGCTGCTGCACAATTTCCATCCTGGGGGTTGCTTTCACCTGTCTCCTGGTTGGGGTTTCATTTCCTGGATCTCCTTCATTCTTTGTGTAAGCCTTTCTACTGATGGAGCACAGCTTCTGTAAATTTCCTGGTTAATATAATAAGGAAAATAAATTACCTGAGAAGTTGAATGTATAAAAATGTATTTATTCTGCCTTTACTATTTATTCATAGTTTGACTGAATATAGAATTTTAGGTTAGAAGTTACTTCTCTTGAGGATTTAAAACAGACATGAGAGTGAGGGGGCAGTGGGAGAGAGAGAGCAAGAGAGAGAGAGAGAGGTCATATAAGCCTTTTTTTTTTAAATCTAGCCTTGAAAGCCAGGTAGCATCATTAATAATCATTAACATTTCACTCTGGTTACAAAGGTCCACCAGGTTCAAGTAGGGCAACATAGATTCCAGCTTTGAAGGAGGAATATAAATGTTATCTTTAAGAAGAACATGTAGAAAAGGGACAGAAAAAAGCAATTAAAACAACCTACAAAGAAAGAATAAGGAATCAGAATGGCATCAAAGTTCTTATTCTCTCGTGCTCTCTCTCTCCCACTGCCCCCTCACTCTCATGTCTGTGCATGTGAGTACCTTGTGAGCTCATGTCATGATTGTCTTAGTCCATTCCTGCTGCTACAATAAAATATCTCAGACTGGGTATTTATAAATAGAAGAAATATATTGATTGCAGTTCTGGAGTCTGAGAAATCCAAGATCAAAGTGTTGGCAGATTGTGTCTGGTGAAGGCTGCTCTCTGCTTCCAAGATGGGTATCTCAATCTAAGTGGACTTACAAGATGGTACCTTATGGGTAAGTCTTCACATGGTGGAAGGGGACAACACTGTGTCCTCACATGACAGAAGCAATGTAAAGGCCAGGCAGTTCTCTGGGGCCTCTTTTATAAGGATGCTAATCCCTTTATGAGGACTCCATCCTCAATCACCTCCCAAAGACCTCCCCTCTTAATATTATCAGCTTGGGGTTTACATTCCAATATACAGCATATGAACTTTGGATGAACACATACGTTCAAACCATAACAATAATATACATGCCACATGAAAGGAGGAGAGAGACAGACAGACAGACAGAGAGAGGGAGAGAGACAGACAAAGAGACAGGCAGAGAAATGCAAAAGGTACCTCAGCTATCTCAGCCCCAGCTGGTCAATTCTTCCCAGATATGTGAGGGAAGGCTTTGAAATGTTAGAGCCTGAGCCACAGACTAAAACCTCTTGAGATCCTGAGACAGAACAACCCAGCTGAGCCACTCTGGATTCTTGTGTCTCAAGAACCATGAGAGATAATGCGTATATTCGAGTTTTAAGCTGCTAAGTTTTAGAGCAATTTGTTGTTACACAGCCACAGTATATAGGACAGTTTATCACTCCACTTCCCACCTCCATCTACACTTTCAAGATTCTCTCTTGTTGGGGAGAGATAGCATGGGAAGAAATGCCAGACATAGGTGAAGGGGAGGAAGGCAGCAAATCACACTGCCACATGTGTACCTATGCAACTATCTTGCATATTCTTCACATGTACCCCAAAACCTAAAATGCAATAAAAAATATATATTTAAAAAAAAAAAGCTTCTCTCTTTGTCTTGAGTTATCTGGAATTTCACAGTGATCTGCCCTGGCAGGCTCTTTGACTCCTTTTCCATGCATTTACTTGGGCAGCCAGTGGACAGTTCAACTTAGAATCTTCCTTCAGTTACCATGAATTATTTAAGTTAATCAAATCTCCACATTATTTAATTTCTCTTTCTCTATTTTCTTTATTCTTTTACTAAAAATTTATACTATTTTGGTAAAACTCCTGAATCAATCATAGACGTCACTGTTCTATCTTTATGCGTGATTTTCTTCACTGTACCTTATAAGCCTTTATCTCTCACTCAGCAAATACTTGCGAAGACCCTACTCTGTGCTAGGATGCTGCAAATAAATAAATACATAAGTTACCTGAGACTTTAGCTTCTATCAAACATTTAATTTGAAGAACTCATTTTTGTCTTCTGAGTGTTACATGTTATTTTTTCATTTGTTTGTTGTTTTAGGGTTTCTTCAGCCTC